ATCATTTTTTAATACTTCAAAGATCCTCAATCTAAGATTTTCTATTGATAGTTATGTGTAAATCAAATAAATACAAGGGACGTGTACAAAATATACCATTCCTTCAATGCGGTTATCCAAGCAATATTACAAGGAAACACCACAAAGATAGATTTAGATTTATGATACTTACGGCCAGCTAATTGGCGCAGGTTAAACATGAAAGAAAAGGAAAAGTTACTCAATTGGTCTATTAGTATCATTACAATACCGTTAAGCTCTATGAAATTTTGGTTATGGCGCACTGGCGACAAAAGTTTACGCGTAAAAGAAAAATTTATTGACAAGCTCTACATTAGCCATTTAACAACCCTGTGTTGTGACCGTTCGTGTTTTCGCCTTTTCGCGGTCAATTAATACAGTCAATTAGGGCAATGCCGAAGGGTGCATGACTATATTTCTAGAAAAGCTTTTTTCAAATTAATGGCTAACGCTTGGGGAACTCAATATACTCGAGAAACCCCGAAGTGTTCATTCACTTCATGCATGTATAATAATGGTTGCTTTAAAAATTTATCATATTATTGCAAAGTACAAATCATCATTTCCGGTCTCCCAATTAATGCATTTGATTTTTTCCAACAATAAGATACAAAAGGAGTTATCTCTTATATGAAATCGCCGCTATCTCATTCAGCTAGTTGCAGTTTATTTCATTCGATTTTAAAGTGACTTTGGCCATCACAAGAACCGTCTTCATGCCATTAAAGGTTGTAATCTAAAGATGGCCCAATGTGACAGCATTCAAATAATAGCCAGTTTAGTTTTGTAAAACTACCTCTGCATATGATTTTCGTCATAGCTTTATTTCGCTGTGTTGGAGGTGTTCTTGCAAATGAGGTGTTCTTGGAAAATATAGCTATTTTTTTCTATATTTTTGAAAAGAGAGCCAGCCTTCCAATTTAATATTACTTTTTGAGAATAGCATTTTTACGCTAAGCCCAGATAAGGAATAAGAAGATGTACAGAAGTAGAAGTTACCTATCAATCACAGTACTTACTGCATTGTTCGTCTGATCCATCACTACAGTCAGTGAGCCCATTGCAGCGGTAAGACGCACGGATACACTCTTCTTGATTTGCACAAGCAAACTGATCGTCTCGACAAGTTACTAGCAGATGATTAAAAGAAACACATGAACCATGACAAAACGTTGGCACTTCTTTTACATTTTTTACCAAAAATATATAATGAATATTAAGGGCTTCCTCACGAATTGAGCAGCTTACCTTTAGTGATTGACCTTTTGTGACTGACATTTTGCAGTGACTTTTCATCAAAGACAAAGTTTGATAACTGTTAACGTACACTTTACATTTTTTTTTTCAGTTTATCGTTATGATTTTATCGAATTCTGTATTTAATAATCTTTCCGTCGACTCATAGCTTCTGAAAGTTTACTTAAAAACAAAAAAAAACAAAAAACATCACACGTAATTCAGAAGTTCACTGATTCGCCAGTATGTGATGAGATTTACGTTAACAATCATTGTTATTGTTACCATCATTAAAAAGAAACATTTATTGTCCAATGAAATTTTCATGGAAACGTTTCAAGATGGTGAGTTTTTGATGAAATGTCGCAAATACCAGTAAGACACCTCAATCACGGCGAGCTTCTTATCTGAGATTTAAATCTTTTTTCATAATTTTTTTTTTTTTAAATTTAACGCCAGCATGAGATGTTGAATGGTTTAGACTGGTTGTTACAAGTACTTAGCGTATCAGTTCTGTCAAAATTTGGAGTAACAGGTTAAGTCCTCCAAAGTCTCCTTCAGATACAGAAAAGGAATAGAGTTGGAATTTGTAATGTGTCTATCATGCTAAACTTCTTTTAGTTATAAGGTTTTATAGGGAATCACTCGGTTGACTAGAAGATAAACATTACAAAATGGCAGCAGCAACGTACTCGCAGATGTGCAGGGGACGGCTACCAGCATGAGCAGTAGAACAACCTGGGGATTCATGACAATCTTTGTGGAATCAAAAAAAGGTAAAAAATAATCAAAATCGGATGTACTCAAGTCGTTCCTTATTTGGTAGGAAAGCAAGCAATCCGCTGATTTTTGTGCTGCTTAGTTAAGTTCTCCCACCGATAAAGGAATGATAGGCAGTCTGAGACTGCATGTGGCTACTGATATAGCTTCTGATACAGCATAGTGACCAATTGACTTTCAACCAATAATTCAAAGGTAACAAATAATCATATAACTAATAACAATGATAGCAACAGTAATAATAATTCATAGAGGTCTAGCTCGAAAACCTAACGGTTCCTCCAGCGTCTAGGCTCCAAAAATGGTACAACTATGTTTATTTTGCCTGTTCATTATAATCATTTTTCTTATTTCATTGTAATTCCATTTTTTTTTGAGAAATAAAGACTTGTTGTTGTTGTAGTAGTAATTATAATAATGATAATGATGATAATGATGCTACTATGGTCACAAGCTACTGAGAAACGGTCGAAATTACGTTTGAAAACTTGTTGTGCAATTTGATATTTCACCAGAATGAAGATTAGAATGAAGATTGTATGTTGACTTTAGCAACAATGAAATGTTCTGATATACACAGTGCAGCTCAAAGATAAGGGGACATTGTAGAAAAGTACCATGCGCACGTATCAAGCGACATAAGTCGACATATTCGCATAAATACACGTATGTCCTTCTCGTATGGGCCTTTTTTATTCATTGCTCTACCTGTGCTTTGAGTGGCATTGAGTTGTAGAAAGAAGAGATGGTACTGTAAAAGCGCCGGTTGCTAGCTTGAAATGGCAAAGTTTATTCGAAAACGTCGTCAATGTCTCTTATGATAAAAATACGACTGTTCTTTTTTTTTTTTTTTTCGTATTTTATTTTGTTGTATTGTAATTTCTGATCACTTACACCTGTATAATAATATTGTGGCATTTCTAATAAATTTACAAGGGAGCAAAAAAAGGAACACTTTACCTTTCTTGCACTTGGCAGTGATCTGAC